TCTATGATCTTCTCTTACCCAAGGCTGTTATGAGTGGTGGTGAATTATTATAATTATTATAATGATAATAATTATTATTATTACAGAAAGGCATAGATGTATTTTTTGAATAAGGCCTTAATTAGGGTAATCTATTGTCTTTGTAGCACATTCTCCAATTAAAGGAGTCTCTTTAACAGTTCCAGTGTCAATGAACGGTCCACTCTCTAAGTGTGAGCATCCCGGAGCTGAGAGGACACCTGCCTCCTTCTCTGAGTGTCACCAAGGTGCCTGAAAGCCTTGTAGAGAGCCCTTCAGTGCCGTGGAGTAGAAGACATGGCTTGTCTTGTCTTGAGATGCGAGTTGGAGAAGCTCAGTGGCATGAGAGGACATCTGAAAGTACCAATTATTCCTGTTCCTTTCTGACATTTTGATGTCTTCCTCTTAGCCATCCCGATCTAGTCACTTTTCTAGTTCTATCTTTAAGAGGATTTAGGTCTCAGTATATTGGGTTTTCCCTGCCATATGGATCCATTTTGGACTCTAAACTTCAAGTCTCTTCTTTTGTGGGCTGCTCTCTCCATTTGTTCCTTGAATGGATACTTTTCTGAACGATAGTAATCTCTATTTATGACTTTCTGAGGTTTCTCTGTCTGTTCTCTCAAGTTATTTCACTCATTCAGTGCCAACTTGATTTTCCAAGATTGAATATTTTACTGATTGTTTGGCCTTGGCTTTGTGTTAATCTCCTTCAGCATTCTGTCTCTCTTGATGCTGTTGGCATCTTTATCTCTATTCTGAGAGGTCCCGGTTCTTTTTTATTTGTTGGTAAAACCTACCACTCCCGTCTTGTTGAACACATAGTCTTTGGATCATGTAGGAGAACTATCGGTGAAAGATATTAAAAAGAAACATTAGGTTCAAAATAGAGTCACTTTTGTTAAGCCCCATCAAGATTCAATACCTAAGCTAATTGCAGTTTCAGCCCCTCCCAGTAGGGGAATTTTAAACCAACCAGTCTAGAATTGCTTGATAAGACCTTGGTCACCATTCCTCCAAAGAAAGGTGACCCAGCCTGAAACAATACTTATCTTTTGCTAATAACTTTCTTGTCCTGCCCAGTTTCTGCTTATAAAAACCTTCCACTTAGTACAACTTCTCAGATGCTGCCAGATTCATAATTCGTACAATAAAGCCAATTAGATTTTTACATTTACTCGGTTGAAATTGTGTTCTTTAATAGAGGAAAGCAAATAACAGGTAATAAATAACTAAATAATCAGATTGCTGGGTGAAGGAGAGTGTGCATGGGGGAGGTAGGGGTGGAGAGGAGAGTAGTGTGAGGGTGCAGGGAAGAGCAGGGTGGGGAAGGAAGCGAGAGGAAGCAAATGTTCTTAGCCCACTCACTGTCATTATGTGTGACCTCTCAAAGGAGGTGGAGGCCTTGTCTAGGTAGAAGTCATCATTCCTGGCAGGAGGAGGTGGCTCTTGTTGCTCCCTTAACCCCATCCTTTCCTTCTGCCTCTTTAGGAAGCAATCAGGAGACTAGGTTTGCTCCTTGAGATGCTTACCCATCACTGACAATAATCACAATGCATTACAACAGCTATTTTCAAGTGGTGTTCCGCAAGAATTGTTAAAGCATGCAATACCTGACTATTTGGTCAGAAGCACTGACCCCTTTACCCTTAGATTATCAAATTTTAAAAAATGACAACAGCCACCACAACAATAGCCACCCAATGTGAACGAATCAGAATTATATCTATTTTTTTTGTCAGACTGGCAAAATATATGACATTTTTTAGTGTGCCACAGAATTTTAGTAATTAGTTTATATGTGCCATGAGATGAAAAATGTTTAAAATTGCTGCATTATAACATGGAGACCCACATTTTCAAAAGTGTGATTATGAAATTCAGCATAGATATGAATAAAGGCAAAGGACTGACTGACAGACTAAAGAAATAGAGACATGACAAAGAACATATTTAAAAATTGCATACCCGCTCGGCTGGCGTGCTTCAGTGGTTGAGCATCGACCTAGGTTGACCATAACTAGAAGACTCTCTTTTTAAGTTCTCTTGCCAAAAAATGCCCCTGTTCTCAATTTTTTCTTAGAATGCTCCCTCCATTCTACCAGAAATTTATTTTTTCTTGGATGAGGCTGTTTCCATTAACTCTATGAAGTGGAGCCTAGCTATTCTTGGTGAAGTCAGTATGGGCTAGTGGACTGAGAATGTTTCCCAGTCAGCACACTTAATTAAGTTCAAGTCTGAACTACATCCTGGACAAGCTGTGTGTTCTTGGCTTAACTTCTAAAAACCTCAGTTTGCACACTGAGAAGCTTAAGGATCTCTGCCCCCAAAAGTTATTGTGAATTAAAAAGGGGATACGTGGCCTGACTTTGTATATCCCATATTCCTGACTGTGTATTTTATAGTTATTTTCTTTTACTTGAAGAGCTGCTGCTACTAGCAAAGTCCATCTTTACTACAGTAGTTGAATGTAGAGGGAAATTTGGCTGTAAAAATATCCCACCCTTCACACACATACAGTTTAGGCCCAGGAGAAGTTCTGTAAGGGTTTCTGTCCTTCCCGCCTATACTTGTAATCCTCAGTATGTATCATTGAGTGTCCTGGACCCATAACTTTGTCTTGCACCTGCCCTGAAAATCCCAAACTTGCAATTAACATGGACTTCATTTTCTTTGCTTCTTCTGCCAGGCTGTTGTTTTTAGTCAATATCACAAGTTGTGATTCATTAGCTTCTCTCTACATGTTTATGATTTCAACTTTATCTCAATTCTGAATACTAACTGGGATTCTCTTTACTCATTCCTAGTTGGTGCCCTTTTTTTTTTACAGACTCCTCAACAAATGCTTCAAATCTTTCCGACTCTTTCCAAGCCTCCTATCTTTTCCCCTCCCCATCAGTGGGAGGATGGTGGAGTGATTAAAAAAAGCATTCGTTCATTCCTGAGACGAATATGCTCTTGAATAAATAACACAGAAGGCATTTAAAGGAAAAAAAAATCAAAATCACAGGGTTACCAAGTTTATAGTTAGTATGTTTATGTGGACAAAACAGAAACTTCCCCACATAATTATCATATTTGTAGACGTCGGTATTGCAAAAGTCAGGGAGTTTTTTTACATTAGGAAGTCAGCAATTGACAGGAAATGGCTTAAGCTTCATTGATTCGGGGAGACTAATTCTAGGTGCAATCTTCTTCCTTATTTCTAGGCTATCTCAGGGTGTAGGGTTTTTTCCTCCTCTCCAACTGTGGGATCTGATAATTGTAGTCATAGTGGTAGCTGGGCAAAGGATCAGTTTTGCTTTCTCTAAGTGGCCAACAGATGTGAATTCTCCTAAATTTCATTTTTCTCAAAGAAATTCACTGGGCCACAGACCATTGAAAAAGCAAGTTGCTGGGCTTTATCACCTAGAAATTCTGATTCAGTGGGTCTGGGATGGAGTCCAAGAATTTGCTTTTTAAATAATTACCTCAGGTGATTCCATGCAGCTCATCCTTTTAGAAACACCAAGGTAATTATATCTTCACTTATTTTTACCTTCTTTTTGCTTCAAGAATATGATATATCCTATTCCTTTTCAAGGCTGATTTCACTATATGTGCTTTTAATTCTATTTATGCCATTTCTTCTGGGTACTTGAGTCATCAGTGAACATCCTTCTCTGGTATTGACAATCTCTTCCTTTTCACAATCGCCTTCCCCTTGGCTTACACATACTTTTCACTCATTTAATAAATTTTTATCAAGTGCCTCCTATGTTTCTGGCACATTCTTTAATTTTTTAAAAAAATAGTTTTTATTGATTTTAGAGAGGGGGGGAGGGGGGGAGAGAGAGAAACATTGATGTGAGACAGAAACATCAATCGGTTGCCTTTGACATGTATCTCAACCTGGGATCGAACCCACAACCTGGGTACATACCCTGACCAGGAATCGAGCCAGCAACTTTCGACACAGGATGACACTCAAACAACAGAGCTACACTAGCTAGGGCTAGATTTATCTTTATCAGTGTTTTTTCACTGACTTTTCTTCTCTGCCTACCTCACACTCCCCTAAAAGCCCTTTACAGCCTGCTTCCAGCTTGCTTTACCAAGCCACAATTCCTGAAACTCTTTGCCCTACGTGCTTCGTTCCAAGGCACGTACCCTTGGGTCCTTGAACACACTATTTCCTTGATGTCTTCGCACATGAAGTTTCTTTGTCTGTGAAGTCTGGAATATCGCATGGCAGATCTGTTAGTTATGTGCCTCAGAGCACCCACTGATTTAAGGTCTTCAACATCTGGAATGCTCTGACTAGGATGTGTAGATGAGGACTGAGCAGCAGCTAGGAGGGCTGCTCAGGGATCTTTCATGTTTGGGGTAAAGCACATAGGGTGAGAGAGTCAGAGCACAGGAGTACATAGGGGGACAGGGCAAAATATGGAATTCTGGCTATTGAGGGGAATTGGATATAGGATCTTTGTCTTTTAAAGAGTGGAAAACTGTGGGTGGTTGTTTATAATTAGTCCATAGTGAACTTCAAATAAGGCGCGTACTAAGGAAGACTAGGTCAGAAATGCCACCCTCTGGAATTGAAGCTAATGAGAATTATTAAATGTGACGAGATAAATTAAATGTGAGGAGATGAGTTATCTGAAGCAGGGATCCTCCCTTGGAAATTGTTCCCTAAGTGTGTTGCTAATGAAAGAGGGTGTTTCTCAAGTGTCCCTCAAGGACATTAAGTGTTGCATTGAGGGTAGGAAAAGGAGAGTCAGAGGTAGAGTTTCAGTTGGTGTGTTTCCAGCAGTGTCCAAAATGAGTTGTTTGTCTTATTATTGAGTTTTAATAATTTCTTATAAAATCTGGATTATTCATGAAGCATAGGACCTTGAAAATAGCTATATGAGCTAGTTTCTAGTCTGACCACCTGTGTGTGAGAGTGAAGTGAAGCAGAGATGAGACAACCTTAGTGTTTGATCACTACTTTTTATTGTTAATTTTAATGCAGTCCAGTTATTTGAAACAAATATGTTATAGTCAAACCAAGCAACTATACAGCAGTGGCAGATTAGTCTTTCTTTCCCTCTGGGTTTAAAGGCTATTTTCCTATGTGGAAAGGCCAATGAACTATAGAGATAGGTTGGAGCCATTGTATTTCCATGGTATTGCTCTTCCAGTTTTTGTATTGTTTTGTTTTTACGTAGAGCAAATTCTTGGGCAACATCTTTCTTGCTAAAAACAAGTCAGAGCCCTCATTTGGATTTCTTAATCCTGAACTGGTCCATCTCTGCTGTTTAAGAAATAATGCTCTCACTCACTGGCTAGGGAGAAACAAACACCTGGTGCCACTTTTTAATGACTCTGTAGGTTACTGGTGAAAGATGCACCTGAGAATAAGGGCTTGATGGTTTTGATAAACTGGGAAACTTCCTACATTACATCTTTGCTTTTAGGATCTTCTTTCTACCATCCAATGTGGGGCACACCAAAAATTATGGTTTACATTGATGTAAGAGAAGCTTTGGCTCCAGAACTGGTAGTATAATTTTTTGCTTTTTAAAGATGCAGGCTTAGTTTGGCATAAATAATGTATAGTGAACTCTCAAAAAGACACCTTAACTAAACCCTAGGCTCCATAAATACTTTATATTATGCTTCTAAATTTAGTCCCACACATTATTTATTCAACTCAGGATTTCCTAGCAATGTAGCCCACATACCCTACATTCTTTGGAAGGAACCCAATAGCAATGAATAGAATACAGTCAAATGAAAAAGATAGAAACAAATACATTCACTTTTAGAAAGATGCTTTATAACAAGTTGCTTGTCTGTTATAGTTTCTTATTTTTTAAATTACTACTTGAGTTAATTTCACTTCTATTTATTATTCATCATTAGAATTAACACCTGTGCTCTTGGACATATTTATAGAGTGGAGTGCTGCTACTGAAACTGTGGGAACTTGAGTTGGTGCTTCCATATCCACAGTTATCGCCTTCTGTCTGATAATAATAATGGCCATCTTGTCTATTATCCTCCTTGAACATTAACACTAAATTGGGTGTGTTGGCTGTAGGTTGTCCAAAGCCACAACTCAAGGAGCTTTCTACTTGTCTTTGTCCATGAATACTCTCGTATCTCTCAGACTCACTACTTCTTTCTTCTTCATTGTACCCTGACCATTCCTGGCTATTTCTTCTTGATTGATTGGGAGTTGAGCCTATTTTGGGTTTACTGTCCTCATCATGAGTACCAATTAAAATTAACCCACATCTTCCTTGTAATTCATGTTGCTCATAGCTAGGACACCAACTGGATCCAGAACCACATTGTTTAGGGCAAGATGAATGACACGAGCCATAACCATATTGTTCGGTGTCAGAACACTGACCAGATCCCAAACCAGATTGTCTGGAGATAGATGAGTGAGATGAGCCAAACCCAGATTGTTCGGAGTCAGAACACTGACCAGATCCCAAACCATATTGTCCAGAGCTAGATGAGTGAGATGAGCCAAACCCAGATTGGTCAGTGCCAGAATACTGACCAGATCCAAAGCCACATTGTTCAGAGCTGTATGAGCCAGACCCATATTGTCCAGTGCCAGAATACTGACCAGATTCAAACCCAGATTGTTCAGAGCTAGAACACAGACCTGAGCCAGATCCATGTTGACTATGGTGAGAGGCAGATCTGTGTTGGCCACAGCTAGAAGGCTGACTCCATCCACACCCAGATTGGCAATAAGGCTGACCTGATCCAGACCTGTGTTGGCCATAGCTGGAAGACTGACCTGAGCCATACCCATGTTGACCACAGCTAGAAGACTGACCTGAGCCATACCCATGTTGACCATAAGAAGACTGACCTGAGCCAGAACCATGTTGACCATAAGTAGAGGATTGACCTGAGCCAGAACCATGTTGACCATAAGAAGACTGACCTGAGCCAGAACCATGTTGACCATAAGAAGACTGACCTGAGCCAGAACCATGTTGACCATAAGAAGACTGACCTGAGCCAGAACCATGTTGACCATAAGAAGACTGACCTGAGCCAGAACCATGTTGACCATAAGAAGACTGACCTGAGCCATACCCATGTTGACCATAAGAAGACTGACCTGAGCCAGAACCATGTTGACCATAAGAAGACTGACCTGAGCCATACCCATGTTGACCATAAGAAGACTGACCTGAGCCATACCCATGTTGACCATAGCTAGAAGACTGACATGAGTTAGATCCATGGTGTCCAAAGTTTGATGACTGTCCGGAAGTAGAACCATGTTGTCCATAACTAGAGGATTGACCTGATCCAAATCCATGTTGCCCAAAGCCAGAAGATTGACCTGAGCTACGTCTGTGTTGTCCACAGCTAGAGGATTGACCTGATCCAGACCTATGTCGGCTATGGCTAGAAGATTGACGTGAGCCAGACCTGTGTCGACCATAGCCAGAGGATTGACCTGATCCAGACCTATGTCGGCTATGGCTAGAAGACTGACCTGAGCCATACCTCTGTCGGCCATAGCCAGAGGTTTGACCTGATTCAGACCCATGTTGTTCATAGCTGGAAGCCTGGCCTAATCCTGATCCATGTTGGCCATAGCTAGAAGACTGACCTGAGCCTGACCCATGTTGGCTGTGGCTAGAAGACTGACTTGATCCAGACCCATGTTGACCATAGCTGGAAGACTGGCCTGAGCTAGTTCCATGGTGTCCAAAGTTTGATGACTGCCTTGAAGTAGAACTATGTTGTCCATAACTAGAGGATTGACCTAAACCAGACCCATGTTGCCCAAAGCCAGAAGACTGACCAAACCCAGGTCCATGTTGTCCACAGCTTGATGACTCACCTAAACTGGATTCTGAACTAGGCTCATGGTATCTCTGACTAGAAGATTGATTAGAGCCAGATCCATATTTTCCATAATTAGAGGATTGTCCTGATCCAGAGCCATGCTTTTGTCTTTCACGGCTCCCTGACTGACCACTTGAGTGGGATCCATGTCTTCTTTGACTAGAGGACTGACCTGAGCCAGACTCATGACCATAACCAGTGGGCTCATTTGAATTTGACCAGTGGTCTTGTCCTCCACAACTCCCTGAGCTGAATCCATGATGTTGATTTGATTTCTTCTCCTGTAGTCTATTTCCTAAAGATTCATTTGAGTGAGACCTATGTTGGTCAGAACTGAAAGACTGATTCTCTGAGTGGGAACCATGCCCTTGTTCTCCACAACCGCCTGACTGATTTGCTGAGTGTGATCTTTTTCTATAGTTATTTGACTGAGTATAACCATCTTCTTCACTCCTAGACCTTTCTTGCTGATGAGAGCCATACTTATTTTTCTTATTATCCTTGAAGTGGCCCGAGCTTGACTCTCTCCATCTTTCCCCAGAGCTTTGCCTGTGTCCCAAATTAGACGAACCTCCTTGATGCCCAATTCTTCTGGAGCTGGATTGAGGCCTGTGTTTAATGCGTCCTCTGGAGCCCCTGGAATAGGAATCATTCTCTCCTGCACTCCAACTTGAATGGCTGGAAGACGATTCTTCCCCGTTGTCCTTCTCTTCTGTTTCACTATGTTCCTCTTGGTGCTGGTGACTGTGATCTCTTTGCTTTGACCCTGAAGCTTGGCAGTAATCTTTGCCGATGATTTTATTACAAGCCTGAGCCAGCTGGAATATCATCAGAAGATACTCAGTAAAATCCACTTTCTTGTTATGGTCTCGATCCAGACTTTGCATGATGATATTTACAGTGTCTGGATCATCTGGATTCTGTATAGGAACAAGGTACAAAGGGCAGCTCTGTCAATATGGACCACATACCCAGCTAACCAATTGAAGAAAGGCTGTGGAAATATGAATGCTTAGCTTACATAGGTTAAACCACATAGTCCCTTAGGCTGGACTGTGCTATCCTGAGCATGAGAGAAGGAAATAGGCAATGAATAATGTAGTGAGAAATAGATAGAAGAATATGCAACTGGAAGATTATTTTTTATAAGGAATGGGTCAAATATAAATGATTAGCTAATTTATAAATAATAATTTTGGATACCTATATTATATATGATTTTTCTTTATTTGTCCAGCTTAATTCATTAACTCATTAATTCATTTACTCATTTAACAGATTTATTTTGCACCTACTATCTGCCTCTCATTCAGTTAGGTGCAATGAACAAGTTTGGTTCTTGACAAAATGGAACTTAAAGTCTAGTGGGCCAGACACACAAACTTAAAAATCAGTTTATTGTGATGTTTCTATGAGAATACACCAGAGGGGAGCCATTGGGGATTCAAGGAAGTTTAATGAGGGGAAATGATGTCTTTTGAAGGATTGGTTGGACCCAGGTAGAGGGAACAATATGAACAAAGATCTGGAGGTAAGAGAAGACATGGCTCATATAGAAAGAACCGAAAGAATTGCTAAATTTAGAGTCTCAGCAGTCAAGAGACGTGACTAGAGAGGTAAATATGGAGCAAATCATGCCTTTGAAGATATGTTAAGTAACTTTGGACTTTATTTTAAGAATTGGGAGCTATTGAAGGATTTTGAAATGAGTGTGAAATGATTAGATTTGTAGCTAATGCTGAGATTGGAAGTAAGAAATGGCTTGAACCAGCAATAGTGATGGGGAGAAATGGGCTGATTGAGAGACTATTGATGAATTTGATGGAAGTTGGAGGATGGAGCATGCTGACAGAGGAAATTAAAATGGCACCAGATTTCTGCTTTGGGCACACAGGAGAAGGAGAGTTTAGTTTTGTATCTGACACACTGAATTTGAGACATTGATAGGAATCCAAATGAAAATATTTAGTATGTAGCTGGATTCAATGAGTTGGAGATCAAGAACAACATCTAAGCTCCCAGATATTTATTTCCAGAACTGACATTTTAAGGTGGTGGTCACCCTCTTTCATGATTTAGGAGTAAGATGCTAATTTCTTGAACTCAAAGGCTTTATAGTGTCAGCATCTCAGAAATGGGCTGTGGTCAGGATATTTTGGGCAGAAGAAAGACAAAGAAAGGGAAGAAGATACATTTTATCTACTTTTCAGTTTTTCCGAGGACCATCTCAGTTGTTGTTCCAGAAGAATTACTCACTTAGGACATTTAATCTATGAATTTTTGTCTTTAAAAAAAATAGGATCACTTTTCTTGTTCATGTTATAGAAACCATTATGGGGTCAACTTTTGACTTTGTTTTAAGCCTTTACTAAACCCTGTTCTCTATTACTAAGTAGGGAGAGTCCTCTAGAAATTTGACATTTGTGACAAAAGGTAGAAAGGGAGAAGTAGGGAATTGCAGTGTTTTAGTCCTGATATGGAGTTCTTACCTTCATAATTTGACGGAATTCATTTTCCAAAAATACTTTCATTTCTGCCTTGTTCAACATGGCACACTCCTCATCGTTGGTGGCATATTGGTAGAAAACTTCGATGACAGTGACAATGCCTTGTAGGAGTTTAGGCATCTTTTTGGAGATTTAATTAACCTAAAAGGGAAGAAAAGGAGAGACCCACCTCTTATTGTTCCTTTTTCTTGCTTAAATACATAAGTAGTCTCAATTATTTGTAAAAATTATTCAGAATTAATGAGGGATGATTAATTCTGTTATGATCAAGAGCCAATCCAGAGTTAAATGACTTGTTTAAGTCATATAGCAAGAAAGTGATGAAATTAGGAACAGAAACTATATCTCATATTTCCATTCCTGAATGAATATAGGAGTGGTGACTTCCTTTTTCGGTCTCTTTGCCTCTACCAGGGATAATTTTATGAACTTTGTTCTGGAGCTGTAGAAGTCCTGGGTGTGCCAATCTATCCATTTCCTCAGTTCCTTTCTAGTTCTCAACCATCACACTAGGGAAGGACAAGTCTATTATCTACATGGCATGCCTGACTCCAACTAAGGGGTATCAGGGTCTAAACTAGACCCTCCAGACTTCCAGGCCAGAGAAAGTAAATAAAGTGAGCAAAGACAACAGGCTTAGGTGATATGGAGCTGGGGCAGCTGCTATCAGGCTCAGCTTCTGTTTTCATTCTCCAAGAGGGGCTGACCCCAGGCTTTACTAATTAGACAACAGACAGAAAAAGCTCAGTAAGTAAAGGAGGCAATCTGCCTACTGGATAATTTGAGCCCAAGATGGTTAAGGAAATGACCCCCAAAGAAAGCTGATACTATCAGTCCCAGTTATTTCTTCATTTTTCTTCTCAATAAAGTTAAACTTATACCAAAGTTCTCCAAAGTATATTCAAAAGAAGCCTGGTACCCAGGGCCTCTTTGCCTTTGAGCACATCCCAGATTCTCATAACTTATAGCTCTAAGTACTGCTCACTTACCTAGTTCACCAGAGGAACAAGTAGGATAGAGGCTGAAGCAGCTTACAGGGTGCTGCTAGTTGCGGATAGTGGCCTTTTTATAGAGGGAGTAATGGTCCATCTTAGGGAGGAGCTGCTCCCTTTGAGATGTCCTAATTTACTCTCAAATAAGCCCAGCTCCACCTCCATCTCCACCTCCTAGTGTTTATCTTCTTACTTCCTTACTTGTTCACCTGAGATTGCATTAGCAGTTCCCAAATCTGGGCGAGTACCAGCTCCACCTGTCAGTCTCTGGACACTGAAGAAAGACCTTTTGCATATTCAATGAAGTAACTAGCATAATGCATTGATAACAAATTATGTGGACTTTAACTGAAGTTGAGTGGAATGTCTGCAGGGACATCAGGGAACAAATGTCAAAGAGTCATGGAATCTGATTTTTAAAAGGAAGCTTAAAGATCATCTGATCAAAATCTTTTTTTTTTAAAGCTAAATTTTCTTATGTAGGATTCCAGCCAAGGTGTACCCATGGTATTATTACCTCTTGAAATAGATAATGGCGGCAGAGGCCCTCTTGTTTCTTTACCCAACTCTGTTTACCAGACTTTAGTGGCCTTTTGTCAATGTAGCTTTCTTTTCAGCCACTATATAACCTTAAGAAGAGATGCATGCTCTTTAGCATAGTATTCATGGTTCCTCATGATCTGGGCTGTGGCTTCTCTCTAGCCCAGCCATGGGCAAACTACGGCCCGCGGGCCGGATCCTGCCCGTTTGAAATGAATAAAACTAAAAAAAAAAAAAGACCGTACCCTTTTATGTAATGATGTTTACTTTGAATTTATATTAGTTCACACAAACACTCCATCCATGCTTTTGTTCCGGCCCTCCGGTCCAGTTTAAGAACCCATTGTGGCCCTCGAGTCAAAAAGTTTGCCCACCCCTGCTCCTCTAGCCCCATCTTCTCTCTAGCCCCATCTTCTCTCTCCCTCTTCCTCTTAATGCTCTACCAGTGATCAACTACTTAAATTTCCTGAAAATAACATACTATTTCATGTTTTTTCTTGGAATATCTTTTCTCATTATGTGCCTAGTGAACTCCTATTCATTCTTAAAAACCCACATTAGACACCCTATAAAAACTCTGTCTTGAATTACTCGAGAGTTATAATTGTGTACCTTATTCATAATTCTGTTGTAGTATCAATCAAACTATTATAATCTTCTAAAATAGTCTTACTATGAAATTAATGTTTGATACAAAAATTGGAAAATATAGATGAACAAAGAAAAGAAAGTGAAAATACCTATAATCCTATTACCCAGAAATAGCTACTGTTAATTATTTGGTTTATATCCTGAAATACACACATGCACACACACACACACACACACACACACACACACACACACATGTCTATTTGCCTAGATCATTTCTGGACTATGAGCTTGAGAATAGGGAATGGGCATCATGGAGACTAAGCAAATTGCTTGGCAATAAAGGTCCCCAATAAATGTTCGTCAAATTGAATTGGATTGAAAGAGGAGTGAGGACCATGACTACAGTGATCTTCATTGATCAACTTATACTTTTTCACAGGACTAGGATCTGCCCTCTCTCTTGCCATTGTTACCTCAGAGGACATTATTTCACCTGAATATAGACTGAATCAGCATTGGAATCCACGAGCGCCTTTCTGCTTATCTCTGAGGTCCTTGCTCTGCACTCCATCCTTGTGAGCATGTAGCACAAATTTCACTAAAGCCGAGTGAAATTACATAGACTTAAACTTTTGCAACACAACCATCAGAATTTTGGGAGGAGTGGTAGCAATTATTGGCAAATGATAAATCACATGATTCAAAATTCAGCCAATATGATGCTATATGTTTTCTTCTAAGAACCACCCAGAGGGCTGCAGAGTCAGTACCCATACAGTGCCCTGTTTCCTCTGGACACCTGATTTGGGTCAGGTCATCATACTTCGTCAGAGGAAAGAGCTTTTCAAAGGTGTGGCTGAGACTGTGGGAGTGCAAGGGAGGTGGAATTTGCTAAGTGAAGACTAATTCCCTGCAGGAGCCGGCTATTGCCAAAGAGGAAAGACAAGGTGAGGGTGAGGTGAAGACTACTCCAGGCGGACATGCTCTTGGGATGAGTATTCTCCTGAATTAGGGGCCAGCAAACTTTTTCTGTAAAGGGCTAGAGAGTAAGTATTATAGGCTTTGCGGGCCAGATGGACCTAGTTACAACTATTGAACTCTGTTCTTGTAGTGTGAAAGCAGCCATAGGTGATATGTAAATGAATGAGCATGGCTGTGTTTCAATAAAACTTACTTATCGACACTGACCTTTAAATTTCATATAACTTCACATAATTTTTTTCAACCACTGTAGAAAACATTTATAGCTTGTGGGCCATCCAAAAATTGGCGATGAGCTAGGTATGGCTTGTGAGCTGTAGTTTGCCACCCCTGGCCTCTTCTGTATTTGCTTGTCAGGAAGACTTGCCAGGAAAGGAGAATCTGAGGGAAGAGAAGTGCTGGGAAGTGTGGGATATCAGAATCAATAATTCTTGTGTGAGAGAAAAGGTGCATGTCTGAGAATGTTGGCGTGTCCGAGGTGGTAGGTAAAGGAAACAGAACAAGGGACCTTTGGGTGCTCATAAGAGTGAGGTAAATTTTGACTTGCTGTGAGTAAGAAATTTTTAACATCTGCGTTGGCTGAAAATGCAATGAGCTCTTTGCAGAGTAATTGAGTTTATTGCCTGGAGTATTGTAGAAACTTTCATTTCTCATGTAAGCAGTTTTAATCCTTTCGTGTTTTGTTTTCTGAATATTCTCCAATGTCATCAACCAAAGTTTTGTTGAGCTTTATTTCTTGGTTTGTGTCACAAAAACAAGAAGCATGTTTAATGTACTTTTGGCCTCTCCTCTCCCTTTTGAGAATTACTAGTGTAAGAGTTGGAGTCGATAACCACAAAGGTCCTTTCCAAAACTGAGAATCATGATTTTACCAGAACATGTGTCCCACAGTCATAGGGTGGACGTGAAGACCCCTTTCATAAGTTTGGTTAGTGGTTTTCCCCTTGGAGATGACAGGGTTCAGGAGAAGAGATTTCTTATGGTATGTGTTACATTCTAGGTTTTTCAGTGCCACCATGTGTTGGCAGAAGAAAGGAAGTTGCATTCTCCATTATGCCAAACACAGTGCTCTGTGGGCTTAAGTATATCATTTTATTAATTCTCACAACAGCCATATGTTGTAGGTATTATTCCCTCCATTTTTCAGATGAGAAAACTGAGGCCTAGAGAAATTTGAAACTTGTTTCAAGTCACTTAGCAGTTAAGTGGAGAAGACAATATTCAAACTCAGATCTGCTTCTGTCTAGGAATAGCCAGGGAGTAGAGATTATTCATGCAAAAGGCAAAAGGGTTGGGGGACAGTTTTTGAGGAATGGAGTGTTTGACCTGAAGAGAAAACCAACCAACTAACCAACCAACCAATCAACCAACCAAAATTAGTAAAGATAAACGGTGAAGTTCCCTTCCACAGCTGTTTTCACTTGTGCTTGTCTGAAAGGCAGGGTAGTGTTCCTATAGTGCCATCTGGTGGCCTAAAGGGATATTGTACAGAAAGTCTTTTCTCCTTGACCTTTCTCTTTTCCCTCACTTCCCCCATGCAATTTCTTACAGTTCCATGAATGAGGAGAATATGCAAAAAATAGGGACATAACAAGCAAAGAATGTTGGTTGTCATGATTTTGGGGTGAGTGGAGTCAAAAGAAGTTAGCTATAAAATAAAACTAGTCAGCAAGCATTACCTTCCTTATCCTTCTCACCAGGTACAAGGGTCATTTTTTCTTTTATTTCAAAAATAAAATAAAAAATGGATCTGATGTAATTTTATATCTTAGCACTGGGGGAGGGAGTTGTGGCAGGCATGATGATACATCTTTCAGCTCCAGACCCAAGCCCTAGAATATACTCTGCTTGGGTACTGGTCTTCCTATTCAGTTGTTTCTCTTTGTATTCTTAGTATTCTTTCTTTTCTCCTCCAAGACCTCAAAAATGCCCAGATGCTAGGAATCCATAACTTATTCTTACTTGTATACTCTTACTTATTTTGTTGACAGCTTTCTCTTTCCACCTCCTTAACTTGCTGCTTGATGCTCTTACTACCATGGCCCTTCATGGCTTGTATTCCTTAGTTCCTACTTTATTGAGGCTTTCTGCATGCAGGACTTAAAGTGGGGAGATTGAGGAGATTGGTTGGAAATATTCCCCAGGGACCATAAAATATTATAGAGGTAGTACAAAAGACCTGCTTGCATGGGAGATATCAGAGAGGACTTCAGAGCCACACAACTTAGTCTGTCCAAGATTCTGCAGCGAGGCCAAGTTCAGCAGGGTGTGGCTGCTGGGGAGGGTTGAGCTAATGGATCTCCCATGATGGGGAGGTGCTAGTCAGGCTTGAGGGAAGGTTGGAGGAGTGTTGCCCACCCCAGAGCCACACAACTTAGTCCATCCCAGATTCTTCCCGGAACTTGGCAGGGAGGAGGGGGCAGGCCCCAGGAGTCAGGAGGCTGAGATTGCTGGGAGCCTTGGGAGTGGGCCTAGCAGATGTCCTGTGAGGGGGAGATTCACAGGAAAGTGGGGGCAATATCCCCTCCCCCAAAGTCACACCACTCAGTCACAGACACCTCCTGAGTCTGGCCAGACCTTTACATCCCAGCCCAGGCAGCTAACTCTTCAGAAGGGCATGACTCCATAGGGTGGGGCAACAGGGAATTCAAAGGGTGGGGCTATTGCATTTCCCTAGGTCAGGAGTGGGCAACCCCTGGCACGCATACCAAACATGGCACGCCAGTAACTTTTGCTGGCACGAGAAACCCTCTCTTATAATATTCCATTTACAATTGTGAATCTTTGTTCTCAGTGATGAATTTTGTTAAGTCTCGTAATAGGAGTAGCCTGACGGATGAAAGTAGTAGCTCGTGCATATCTCTGAAGGTCACGAAATATAAACCTGATGTAAAATCTCTGTCATCAGTGATGCAGCAGCAAAAGTCCCACTGATAATATCAAATGGAGTTATAAAGTTTTCTGTCGGACTATCAGTGTACATGTATACATTAAAAAATAAATGTATTTTTCATCATCATATACTGTGTTTTTGTTGCTCGAATGAATTTTATTATTTCTTCAAGGTTCTTCACATAGGTACACCTTAAGAGATATCAAGTAGGCGTAACATGTTCTCAAAAAATTAGGGTTGGCATGCAGAAGAATTTTGAGTCAGAGATTTTGCTGGTTTTGGCACGCACTCACAAAAGGTTGCCCACCCCTGCCCTAGGTTAATTCCATAGAAAATGAGTGCTCCACCCAAGTAAGATGGTTTCTGTCATGTGGTAGAGGAACTCAACACAGGGGTCCTGCTGGCTGTCCCTTCAGTGCTCTCCCCAGAGTCACAAACCCCAGTCTCTACTCACATGACCTTAGTCTGCTCTGCCCTCCCTCCACTGGAGCACAGGGTGAATGGCTGCAAATGAGATTTTGTGTTTTGGCTCTTTAGGAGGGTACCTGTGTCTCTAGCAGACTCCTATCTCTCCCTGGCAGACAGAATCCCTGCTGATTTTCACAGCCAGATGTTATGTGGGTACCTTTTTGTATATTGATTTTGTATATGCAACTTCACTGTGTTTGTTTATTGTTTCTAATAGTTTTTTTTGGTGGAGTTTTTAGGGTTTTCTATATATAGAATCATTTCATCTGCAAATAATGACAGTTTTACTTCTCCATTTGGGTGCTTTTTATTTCTTTTTCTTGCTTAATTGCTCTGGTTAGGACTTCTAGTACTGTGTTGAATAATAGTGGCAAGAATGAGCATCCTTATCTTGTTCCTAATCTTAGAAGAAAAGCTTTCAGTTTTTTACCATTGAGTATAATATTAGCTAGGGTTTGTCATATATGGCCTTTATTATGTTGGTACTTTCCTTCTATGCCTATTTTATTGAGTGTTTTTTTAAAGTCATAAATGGATGTTGTATCTTGTCATTATGCTAATTGAAATAAGCCAGTCACAAGAAGAGAAATATTTTATGATTTCATTTATATGAAATATCCAAAGTAGTCAAATTAGTAGAATCAGAAAGTAGAGTGGAGGTTGCTAGGGGGTAGGGAAAGGGGAAATAAGGAATTTTTGTTTAATGGATATAAAGATTCAGTTGGGCAAGATGAAAAAAATTTGGAGATTAGTTGTGCCACACTGTGAATATACTTACCTCTACTGAACTGTGCATAAAAATAATTGATAAACATGTGAGGGAGTGTATGGTAATTTTGTTCTTGAGTGGACAGGGATATGAAAGAAAACAATTTCAGTTGTTTGTTTATGAGTTCTTTACAAAACATCGAGAGTTTTGCCTAGAGGTGTATTCATCTGGCTATCTCTGTTGTAAGGTCAGTCAGTGTCTTTCCATCAGTACTTCCTACCTTGGGTAGCCAGATCTGCACTGTCTCTCTCATTCTAACTTTTATCTTCAGCCTGTCAGTTAGGCCTGACTCCTCTAGAGAAAGAAGGGTCTCAGGCGGTAGCTGAAGTAGCTGGTTGTGAGTCTGTAGGCAAGGTGACAAATAGTGACTCATAAGAGAGGCGGTGTCTCCATATCTGTGTCAGTGACAACTCAATGAGATCGGCAGGTTTGGCACCTTGTATGGGAATTTAGGAACAGAACTTTAAGCGGGGAAGCAGGGGACCAGTGGGTGGATCAGATCCCCATTGAGTGGCTTGTCGAGCACAAACATAGACATGATATTGTTTGAGGCTAATGAGAAAAATGAAGTTGTTGCTTTTTATTTACTCCCTTATCCACATTGGGGATCATTTCAACTTTGACAGTTAATTTCACTTTAGCTTGATTTATTTAAGCAATAGTGAAAAAAAGACAGCTTTTGTAAGTGTGCTTATAAAACCACTAAGCAGAGAGTTAAAAGACTTGAGCTCTAGTTGCTATTTTGGTGCAGACTATTTGTGTGATGGACTCATCTGCTAAATGTGAACAATGGTCTAGCTAGTCTCTGAATCCCTGCTGGTCTCCTGTTACAAAGAAGGAACCTAGGTAACAATTCATGCAGAGGGATTTTCCTTCTAATGAAAGAATTTTGTTCACATAGTTCCTATTATTTCCTTTATCGCTTTATCCACTGGACTAACTCATGAAATACATGAGTTTTCTTTCCAGGAAGGAGAACGTTTTCTTTATTGATTTCCCTTTGTCAAGATATTTTAGCACAATTTTTCTGCTCTCATTAGTCTTCATTAGAAAACATTTCCTAGTGTCTTGGAAGCAGGTCCTATGGACAGTAGTTTGTGCTTCCCGATCTTGGTTTGACTTGGATAATAGCCATCTGGGTTGATGTTTTGATAATAATTATGATTCTATTAGCAATTGAGATAAACCTTTTTCCATCCTGGAGGTGACAATGTGGAAAATGATTATGTTACAGAAAAACATAGGATTTGATTAAATACTTTCTTCTTTAGAGTCAATATTTTTGCATGCTGTGTAACTAGGGTTTGGTTATACAGGTTGCTAGTGATGAAGAAAAGATGTAATTCAGGCCATTGGGAAGAAAGTCTTTCGGGGTTTATAAGAAATAAGCATAGAAGACACAAATTATGGTATATGATCAATTGTTTATTTTCAGTTTTTATGCAATTTATTTTATGAATTCTATATGCTAAAAGGTGATTTTAATGAGTACAGAATAATACACAGTTCCAATAGATGCATAATAGAGGCACATGTACTGAGCCATGATAGTAGTATAGCAGCTATGGACTCTGGAACTATGTTTCTATAATTTTGACTCCACTTTTTATTTTTGGCAAAGATTATAGTATAAAATCAAACAGGTTCTAAATTTTAATCCCGCAAAAAAAGGTTACATAAACCCGTCCACCAAAATACTCATACATTTCATAATTTATCTGTCCATAACATTGCTTTCTTCCATTCATCATTTTATAGTTATAAAGATAAAACCTTCCCAGAGAATGAGAAGAAACAATCACCAAGGTAGAGAAATAGGATAATATGTTAAAAAGATAATAGAAGATAACCTCTGTGAAAGTATAAAGAAACATTCTTGATTCAAATTTGTGTTGTTCCTTCTCATACTCTTTGAATTAATTATATTTCTATTGTCTCTCACTCATAATAATAGTGTTGTTGAGACTGACAAAATCCCAGCTGCTTTAAACTATCACTCGACTGACCATATATCACAGGGTTTATATAACTATCTGATGTATTGGACCTTGAAAAGTCTTCTCCATATAGAGGTGTGCCTCTAAATCCCACATGACTGGATTTAGGTCTTCCAGCCTTGCTGTCGCTGGCCTGACTGCTGCTGGACCCCCGATGTCTGGTTGTCTTGGATCCTGAAGACGATGGTCCGTGTCCAGTGCCCGAGTGTCTGTGGCTGTCGGGTGACTGCTCATGCGGGGATTGCTGTCTTCCTCTTGAGCTTGATCCTGACTGCCCATGGGATGAGGCGTGGTGTCCTCGAGAGGATGTCTCTGCATGATGTGAGCCTGATTGTCTAGAGGTGTCTGCAGACCGTCCATGACTAGATCCCTGTCTTCCGCTGGCATGAGAGCCTGAGTGTCCCTGGGAGTGCTCAGAGTGCCCATGCTGGGCTTGCTGCCCTCGATGGGTACCAGAGTGTCCAGAACCGTGTCCTGACTGGTCATGGGTAGACCCATGGTTGGTGTGCGGAACTGGATCCAGCCCTGTCACGGGTTGAGCCAGATTGTCTACCTGAATGTTCAGAGTGTCCTTCGCTGTCGCTGGCCTGACTGCTACTGGACCCCCGACGTCTGGTTGTCCTGGACCCTGAAGACGATGGTCCGTGTCCAGTGCCCGAGTGTCTGTGGCTGTCAGGTGACTGATCATGCGGGGATTGCTGTCTTCCTCTTGAGCTCGATCCTGACTGCCCATGGGATGAGGCGTGGTGTCCTCGAGAGGATGTCTCTGCATGATGTGAGCCTGATTGTCTAGAGGTGTCTGCAGACCGTCCATGACTAGATCCCTGTCTTCGCTGGCATGAGAGCCTGAGTGTCCCTGGGAGTGCTCAGAGTGCCCATCTGGGCTTGCTGCCCTCGATGGGTACCAGTGTGTCCAGAACCGTGTCCTGACTGGTC